GCTGAGCTAAATCCCCAGCCCCCTTTATAGATTTTTTTTTGGTGCATTTACTTATCCATTCTCTTCTCCCTTCCCATACCCCAACACAGACATGTTCTTTTACTTTTTTAAAATTTGAACGATGTATACAACCTGGGTGAGGGGCTGGGGATATAGCTCAGTCGCATAAGCGCCTCCCTGGCAAGTGCAAGGTCGTGAGTTCAATCCCCGGTACCGAAAAAAAAAAAAAAAAAAAGAAGACAACCTGGGTGAGAAGGGAAATTATAAAAGTATTTCTTCAGAGTGGCTTTCAAGGGAATATTAAGTTTTTGCTTTGAATTTTCTGATGCAGATCAGTTTATGATAATCAGAATTGGTGATTGCCTCAGCCTTGGTATGAAGGACAGGAACAAGCTAATTGTTGTTCTTACAGCCCTGAAGCATGTATCTGATGATATGAAGACTCACAAGAATCCTGCCCTGAAGGCTCAGAGTGGTCCAGTACGCAGCGGCCCCAAACCATTTTCTGCACCTAAACCCCAGACCAGTCCATCCGCCAAACCAGCCACAAAGAAGGAACCTGCTCTCCTTGAACTGGAGGGCAAGAAGTGGAGAGTGGTGAGTTAAAAATACCTGGACAGGAGGAAGGAGTGGGAACAAGGGATCTAAACAGCTCAGACAAATAAGTGGAGGGTTTTGGCTTAAAGTGTAAGAAAAAGTGTTTGGGGATAATCTGTGATTTCTGTTGGTTTGTACTTTGTGATAAGAATCTGGAGTTGTTTCTTTAACAGGAAAACCAGGAGAATGTTTCTAACCTGGTGATTGATAACACAGAGTTGAAACAGGTGGCTTACTTATTCAAGTGTGTCAACACAACATTGCAAATCAAGGGCAAAATTAACTCCATTATAGTAGGTAAGCTTTTGCTGCCATCCTAGGCAGGTTCTGCTCAAAGCCTAAGAGGGCTAGAGCCATCTTCCTAAAGAGGCTTAAATATGTTACTCTTCCTTTAAAGTCACACTGTTGACCTGTTTTCTTTCTTCTCCTAGATAACTGTAAGAAACTTGGTCTGGTATTTGACGATGTGGTGGGCATTGTGGAGATAATCAATAGTAGAGATGTCAAAGTTCAGGTAACTTGATATGTTGGTCCTTCTTTTGGTCCCTGAGGAATTAATTGAAAGAGACAGCAGACCCGCAGGTGTTACTTTGGCAGGAATCTGATTCTATAGTCTGTAAGATGAGCTGCTTTGGATGTGGCAGAGGAGGAGTTGGTTCTTTAAGGGAACTCTTTCCGACTACATCCAAACCTGCCCCCGCTATTCAGTATCTGTTGTGCACCTGGGAGCTTTTCATATTGTTGGTGAATCATGTGAAACAGTGAAAGCTTCTCCTGCAACTGTCTTCCCCGCCAGCTGGGACTCAGTTTTCTTGGTTTTTCTCTGCAGGTAATGGGTAAAGTGCCAACCATTTCCATTAACAAAACAGATGGCTGCCACGTTTACCTGAGCAAGAATTCCCTGGATTGTGAGATAGTCAGTGCCAAATCTTCTGAAATGAACATCCTCATCCCTACAGAAGGCGGTGATTTTGTAAGTTTCTTAGTTTCTTGCACTGGAAAAAGCTATTTGGTGGATATTTGGCACTCAGTAGGTAAAACCTAACAGTGCATGCAAAAAGCAAAATATTGTATACAGAAGCAAGGTAATCCCACGTAGTACAACTCCAGAGGAGGCAATTTTTGTCTCTCTTAAGTTGCGCTCAGGCTAGCCAAAAAAAAAAGAATGAGCGCCCCAGCCAGATCTGGTGGTACAGGACTGTAATTTTAGCACTCAGCAGCCTGAGGCAAGATTGTGAGTTTAGCCCAACAAGGGCTACATAGCAGGTTTGAGGCCAGCCTGAGTGATCTAGCAGAACCTTGTCTCCCAAAACCAAACAGTAAAAAGGAATGAAAGTCCTAGCACCCTGCGAGACTGGCACTGTACTGTGCATGGTCCCCATGAGCCGTCTGCCAAGGTCACAGGTCAGATGGGCTGTTTGAAATAAGCATTGAAAGAAGTGTGCGATTCAGTGCTCCAGCTGACTAGCCTAGATTTCAGCCTATTTTCTTTATTTACAGAATGAGTTCCCAGTTCCTGAGCAGTTCAAGACCCTATGGAATGGGCAGAAGTTGGTCACCACAGTGACAGAAATCGCGGGATAAGCAAAGTGCCAGTGGGTCCTTCGCCCTCTCCCTTCACACCATGGGATAAATCGATCGAGACGGTTCTTTTCTAGATTTCCTCTACCTTTCTGCTCTTAAACTGCTTCTCTGCTCTGAGAAGCCCAGCTACCTGCCTTCACTGAAATATACCTCAGGCTGAGATTTGGGGTGGGATCGCAGGTCAGCTCATCTTCTGCAGGAAGGTGCCTCTTCACGTCAGTGCAGCCACACCACCACTCCACCCCTAAGGATCTGCAGACCTGGACTTGTGCATTCTAGCTTTCAGCATTTGGGGTTATCTGACCAACAGTCAGTCCTTTGGGAAGAGTATGACAGTCCCAGGAACTAACAGATTAAAATGTGCATACTCACCTTTTTCTAACAATGAGCATGGAGGTAGTAGAAGCTAGTGAGATTCCAAGGGGTGGTACAAACTAATTTTTCACGGTTCATAAGTGAGGCAAGGGTTATACTGGATTAAAGGCTGAAGCTTGGCTGCCTAGCATTCCAAGCAAATGTGCTTCCTACAAGCATTCCTTTATTCTGCATTCCATCCTGGGTCTGACTCAACCTTGAGATTGCTGGTACTACCATAGCTGCAGCAGCAGTGCCCTCATCCAGACCAGTTCAAGGAGTCTGGGACCCTCTCTCTCTGGGATTCCTACACAACACCTTCCAACAGAGACAACTTTAAAAGACAACATGCCATTCCAAGGAGTCCAGCATTCCTTCTCCCTGCTAGGTGCCTCTCACCTGTCTGTACTGCCTCCTTTTGCCTGTCACATTGAATAACTTAGGGCTTCTGTCCAGGCATCTGAGAACTAAACCCATCACTACAGACTGGTTTTAGGTCTTGATTTATGTAAGAACCTTGCTCAGCATTGCTAATGTTTCAGTTTTCCCCCCTGTAGGACAAAATATGCAACCTTTTTGTGGGAAGAGAGATTGTCCTGTGACTTCTGCCCATTTCCTGAGGCCTGTGGAAATAAACCTTTATGTACTTAAAGTTATACAGAAAATAGAATAAAGTTAATACCAAACGTGTTATTTACCTGTTTTCTATACAACGATGTAAAAATATTGAAAAGAAAAATGACACCCAGGATGAGAAATTACTCTTTATTTTAGACAATCTCATAAAATTATTTTCATACCCCTCCCCAGTTCTTACCCTTAATTCATATCTTTTGACACTTGAGAGAGAAAAAAAAGGGTAAATTGTGCAGTACTTCCTTTTTTTTTTTTTTTTGCGGTACCAGAGATCGAACTCACGACCTTGCGCCTGCTAGTTAGGCGCTTATGCCGCTAAGCTATATCCCCAGTTCCCAAAACTTTTTTTTTTGCGGTATCAGGAATCGAACTCATGACCTGGCGTTTGCTAGGCAGGTGCTTGCACCACTGAGTCTGCAGTACTTTGATGAAAACAGCTTGATTATTTCCAAACTGGCACTCTATAGAAGTCACCCAGAATTTGCTGATGGCACGCCTGTAATCACAGCACTCGGGAGGCTGAGGCAGGAGGATTGTTTCAAGTTTGACACCTGCCTGGGTTACAAAGTGAGCTCAAGGCCAGCCTGAACTGCATAGGGAAACCCTGTCTCAAAAAGACAAAAGAAAAAAAACCATCCAAAACATGTTGACAGGTCTTCAGGTGGGAGCGAAAACTTCCATACTCAAGAAAGGTAGGAAGCAGCAGATTAATTGTTAGTTTCATTACTAACCATAGAGAATTCTCAGTCCTTAGTCTAATCCTAGAGGTGAAAGAAGTAGGGAATAATCTTTAAACTCTTTTTTGTTTTTGAGGTCTTATGTATTGAACCCAGAGCCTTGTGTATCCTAGGAAGGCACTCTGACACTGAGCTACATCCTCAACCCTTTATATTCTGAGATAGTGTTTTGTTAAATTGCCCCAGCTGAGCTAGCTGAGCATGTTGGCTCACACCTGTAATCCCAGGACTCGGAAGATGGAGGCGAAAGGATCACTGGGAGTTGGATAACAGCCTGGACTACATAGTTCAGGCCCAGTGTGGACCACAAAGCCAGACCCTCAAAAAAAGTTGCCCCAGTTGTACTGAACATACAATCATTCTGCCTCAAGCTTCCTGCCTCTTCAAGTGGTGTTTTTTTATTTTTGTCCTCACAGAACATAGCATCAGTTTGGAGGATGCTGGTAAGTATGGTTTTTAGGGCTAGAGGTTAGAAAGCCTGGTCTGTTTACATTCCTCCTATTTTTCTGCTAAAGCCAGCCACAGTGATTAGCATCCAGGCTGCTAGGTGCATGGTAAGGGTAGATTAATAAAAGATGGAGCAGGAAACACTGGCTGCTTCATTTTCACCCTCGTCTGTTTCATCACCCCTTCCCCAACGTACTAAGTTACGCAAGATGTATGCTTCTGCTCCAAAGCAACCCCACTTAAAACTACTTCCCTTCCTTTTATAACAGCAACTAATTTATCACTACCTGAGAAGACAAAACGAGCTCTGGAGAGGCAAGATTGTGGGCTGGTGGGCTCTGCCTAGTAATTGCTAAGATACTATCGAAGGCAACATGACTCAAGAAAGCAGACTTAAATTACGCACAAACACCCCAAGCAATACCTTTCTGAGCACTAGTTAAAGCTCCACCAGTAACGCTGAGATGGTATTTATGTAGTACCTCACACCCAAGTCTTGGCCTTCTATTTGCCTCAAATGTGGCCAGATGTTCCCCCGCCCCCCACTGACCCCACTGCTTTAGTTTGTTCAGTCTCCCCTGGGCCTGGATACAGTTCTGGCACTGATGCCTAGCAGATTCCTTTTCCTGAGACAGCTTGACCACATCACAAGGTTGTAAAACAATCTCCTTTGTTATTAACTAATTAAACTTGAATTCAACACCATATGGTGATAGGCAGCAAAGGATAAGATTCGGATCTTAGATCTTTCCAAGTAGGGCATGTTAGATGGTAACAGAAGAGAAGGATTAGCTGCAAGCTGATCTGAGCTCAGGATTGGCCAGGAAGAAAACTTTCAAGTGGCTTGGAAGAGTTAGGGGCTTTCTGAGCTCTGTTATAAACTGTGAGGGCTTCATTCAAGGAAGGGTATGATGTGGGCATAAAACCATTTGTTGGACAGCTGAAGATGGTCCCCTTCTGTAGCCAGAAACACTAGCTTTCCAGCTTTGTCCATTTCCTTTAGCCCCAGGCGGTCCTACAGAGAGAAAGTCCATAATTGAGGTTTAATGAAAGGTTTTAGAGTAAAGTAATACAACGTAAGCTTGAGATATAATCTCAAAATGCAGTTTCGTCTATCAGTATTAAAGTAGAGGTATACTGTTGAAAATGTCAAAAAGGGTACATCCTCCTGTTTCTAAGCATTAAAAATGTACGCACAGTTGAGACTGTTCTATACAGTCATAGTCTTTTTGTTGCTTTGTACCCAGCTGGGGATCAAACTCAAAGCCGCCCATGAGCTTCTGAGTTATTTTCTTAGCCCTTAATTTCAGGTTTGTCCACAGACAGGCAACCCACAAATAAAACTGAAAAACAGCGTGGGATAAGCCAAAGTAGGACCAAGCCAAAGTCAGGAGAAAACTAGGTAACATTTTAAGGTAAGACATGGCCAATCCTTAGATCACAAACCTGAAACAATTCCATATACTCCAATTGAAAACGCCACCCACAACCTGGGTACCACAGAACCCACCTCTAGGTGGGAAAATGAGCAGCCATGGCAGGGCCAAAATGGCACTTCTGCTGTGGCTACCACCAGTTTGACCTTCACAATAAGAAGTTCTAGCTGTAATTTCCTGAATTCTTAGCAGAACCGAGCTTTTTTTAACCTCACCTAAGCTGGGACACCAAATGCAAGAAAGAAATCTAAGAGGAGAAAATGACCTCTGGAATTAGTGGAGGAAATCTAGTGGAAGTTGACTGATCCAGTGATAGCCTCGTGTATTTGTGAGACAGTCTATCTCCAATATAAATTCCTTCGGGCTTGGCAGGCCTATAGCAAAGTGGTGAAAATTGCCACTTCTCGAGAAATAGGACCTAGTGCTAAAGAAAACTCAATTCCATTTACCTTCCTGCAGGAGAAATTATTCCCCTTGTCAATACCGAATTAACTGATCTATTTTTGATGTTGGGGATCGACACCAGCATGCTAACCACGTACTCTTACCACTGAGCTATACGCCTAAACTACCAAGGTCTGATTTAAAAGCAGAACTTCTCCTACATCTATGACTGCTATAAAGTGGTATTCCTTTCTTGCATGTTTTCTTTCATCTGGGGGCTTCTTAGATTTGTGGCAAACCGAACCTCCAAACCAGCAGCAAGTTGCAACCTTTTTTTTTTTTCTTTTTCTTTTTTGAGACAGTTTTACTGTGTAGCCCAGGCTGGCCTCAAACTCATAACAATCCTGCCTCAACCTCCCGAGTGCTGGGATTACAGGCATTCACCACCACTCTGGCCCAATCTTTTCTTTAAAAGGAAAACTTTAGAGATGATGTTTTCCTTGATTTTCCATGGAAGTCATAGGACACTGGTCTTTCCTTAAGATGTGGTAAATTTCTATAAACCAGAGCCATGCCCAACAGGCCTTGCATCAGACATAAGTGAGGAGCTTGTGAGCACCTAGTGCCCTGGGGCAGACAGTGCAGGGCTCTTGCACCTGAGAACCCAGCACCATCAGGAACCAGGAGCCAAATGGGACAGCACCCTCCTCCCAAGGTGTCTCCCTCCTAGTTACCTCTGTATACAGAGTGGTCTCCTGTAGGGGAATAGTCTCCTTGCCTTGACCACTTCTGTAAAATCCAAACCACTGCAGAAGAGGAGGAAGAAAAATCAGGTCAGACCAAAGACACCCAGTATACACTGCCGACCTCATTTGAAACTGGCTTGTACCAAAGACTACCAACAAAGCGAACATCATAAAGCTATGTATAGCAAGCAAGAATGGGAGCTGAGTATGGTGGCACATGTCTGTAATCCCAGGACTTGGGAGACTGAGGCACAGGGATCACCATGGATTTGAGGCCAGCCTGTACGACATGGTAAGACCTTGCCTTGGCGGGGGAGGGGAGTGGGGAAGCGGGGGCATGTCTTTTGTTTTAAAGGCTATGTCTTAACTCACTTTTATTTCAAAGCCAATCCTAGCTGGGTGTGGTGGTGCATGCCTGTAAGCCCAGCACTTAAAGAGGCTGAGGAAAGAGGATCTCTGAGTTCAAGGCCAGCATGGGCTACACAGTGAGTACAAAGCAGCCTGAACCACTTAGCAAGACCCCCATCTCAAAAACATCAAGAAACAAAATAAATAAAATAAAAGCCAATCCTAAAGTGTAAGTTAAATCTTTCCCAAGAGCTGTGCATTGCTCCAAAACTTCTGCTGCTTTTACTGTATACCAACTCTGAGAATCCCGGTGCTGAACTCTAGCCATTCGAGGGTGAGTATATGATGCTTTTTCCCAAGAAGCTCCCAGCCTAGCAAAGCATAGAAACAATTCACTATCTACCATAGGGTCAGCAAACATTTTTTCCTGTAAAGGCCAGATACAAAATATTTAGGCTGTAAGGGCCATATGGCTGCAACTACCCCTATAACACAAAACTGCTACAGACTATATGTAAAACATGAGTATGCTGGTCAGGCAGGGCGGTGCATGCCTATAATCCCAGCACTCTGGGAGACTGAGGCAGGAGGACTTCGGGTTTAAGTATAGTCTGGGCAATTTAGCAAGACCCTGTTGCAAAAAAATAAATAGTGCTGGGAAAGTTGTTCAGTGCAAAATCCTTGGGTTTAATCCTTATTACTGCAAGAACAAAAATATCTCTCCTGTCCTAAAAAAAAGAAAAAAAATGTATATGATTGTATCCCAATGAAACTTCACTTATGACAGTGGAAATCTGAGTTTCACATAATTTTCACATCATAACATATTCTTTGCATTTTTTCCAACCATTTAAATATGGAAAAATGCTTTGTTCACAAGCTATCCAAAAATGGCCAGCTGGAGCTGGCTCACAGCCCTCAGGTTGCCAGCCCTGCTGATCTGACAACATGAGGAGGGCTTTCATAGAAGCTGGTAATCCTATAAAAAAGGGAGGAAATTCTGCTTGGAGCAGGATGACATCTAGAGGAAGTGACAATTATGTTTGACAGATAATTATCAATATGTCAGGTGGAGAAGCCAGCCACATGCAAGAGAAAGCACATGCCAAGCCAGGAACATGCCAAGTGCTACGACATAGCTGGATCAGAGAGTGTATGAAGTCGGAGTGAGGGGAGGGGAAGCTAGAAGGACTACAGGGAGATGAAGCCAAGTCAAGGCAGACCTTTCTGCTAGTGATTCTAAACCTTTTCAGGTCATAGAGATCTCTGAAATAGGATTAAAATTACAGGCCCTCACCTCAGGCAATGTAATCCCATACTTTTACATGTAAGTTTGGAATGGAACTGGGGGACTACAATCCTGTCCCACTTGTGGACCGCAGAACCCATCTACAAAGGCTGGTGCTGGGGACGGGAGGCTTTAGCACAGCAGGCAGCAATACGATGGCGCTGCTGACTCCTACAGCTCCCTTCCATGCTATGGCCCAGGCAGTCTCTCACCTCAGAGTCTACAGGGTCCACAATGCTATCGTTGAGGAACTTCACCATCACAAACTTCTTCAGGGCCATCAGGTTTTTCTTGTAGGTCTCATTGGTGCTCTGGAAGAAAGGCCAGCACGACCTCAGCATCAGTACTGTCAGGTTCCAACAGAGGGGGCAGACTCTCAGGGCTCTGGTCTCCCGAGTCTGGGCGTCCATCCCAGGGTCCTCACCAAACCTTCCGGACCATCCTATCTCACTGACATGCCACCAACTATGGCAAAAGGTGCTACCAGGAATCTGTCCACACTCCACAGGTTATCTACCATGTACGTTAAAAGCTTCTCACCAGGGGAAAATAAACAGCAAATTCTGGGTGGTTCTGTTATACTCTTCCATACTGTTTTCTGGTTTGATTTGATTTTTTCCCCTTCAAATACTCTCTTCAATAAAATATCAAAAGCTCCACCCAGATAATCCAAATACAAACTGAGCCATCCAGCTTACCAAAACCTCCCCAAACCATGCCCATTTCTGCAACACGAGGAGTGCCCTCTGCAGTATCTCTTCTAGTTAAGTCTCTCTCCTGAGAAAATCTGTCCTAATGGGCACACCAGGAAGGCTCCCCGCAGAAGGCAGCTAGCACTCTGTAGACCTCGTCCTGCAGCTCCCACACTGGGGGAGAGAGAGACTTCAAGGGGGAGGCCAAATGAACTCCAGCCTCCTTAAAACAAGCTGAGTCTCATGAGCATTGCTTCCCCCAAACTGAAATTTCTGGCTCCTGGCTTCTTCCCTGGACAGTCTGGGTAAATAGTTGCTGCTAACTTGTTCTCAATGTCCCAGCAGAAAAATGAATGCCTAACTACGGGAGACTGGTTGATGACTTACCCTTTCCTGATTTATATCTGCCAGGAAAATGCTGTGTTTGCGGTACACATCCTCGTTTATGGGATCATGCCAGTATTCTGCTTGTACCAGGCTGCAGGGAGAAAAAGGGACAGACGTGACCATGGTGCCTATCAGTCTGAACACTCGGCGTATGCCCCTCATTTATGGGATCATGCCAGTATTCTGCTTGTACCAGGCTGCAGGGAGAAAAAGGGACAGACGTGACCACGGTGCCTATTAGTCTGAACACTCGGTGTATGCCCCGGCGCATGCCCCAGGGCATGGGCACCCCGAGGCCTCGGCCTCTGATAGGTTGAAGGCGGTGTCTCCTTTGAGCTCACCCGCACGCCGCTTGAGTGCACCCTGTATTCCCCTCCAATAAATCTGCCTCGTTATCTCTTACTGATGCACCCTAAAAATTCTTTTTTTTATGCTGGAAGTCATGGAACCTAAGAATTTATTTTAAAAGAGTGGGTATGTGCTTTATTTCAGCCTCGGCGACCTCCCAGACCCAACCTGGTGACATTTATCTTGGCAGCCACAAAGGGACCTAAAAAGAGACATAGAAACTGCAGAGATCTCAGCTTTGGTTTGGTAAGTCCAGCCAAGAGACTTATTTCATTATTTTCTTTCTTGGCCATTTTGCCCCAATCTCTTGGCCCTTTGAAGCATACTTTTTCTCTGAAGCATAGTTTTCTCCAAACCCCTTTGCTGCTGAAGCATAGCTTATCTTTCCCCTTTCTCTTCCTGTACAGCTATGGGGTATTTTTAAATTTCTTTCCCAGTAGCTAGAGACTCCTAAGCCCCTAGAGAATGAGTGCTTGTATATAAAAGCACTGAAGACAAGAGGCACTTGATCCCTCTCACCAGGAACAGGACGATGTGTTAGGAGGTGAGTGCGGGGTTCCTTTAGTTTAGCACCACACCCAGCCCAGGTTAGATGGCGCCCTTAACAATCTTGCTCATCCAATGACAAAATAAGGATGGAGACCCTATCCAGAGTCTCCAGTGAAGTTTCTTATGCACCCAGCATGGGAAAGCCAATGCTGAGACACACTGCAGAGAACCGGCCTCCAGGTCATACTGGAGAAAGCCATCTGGGTACCTACACATATTTAGTTTGAGGGAGTTTCTCTAAACTATTCTTTTGGTCTCTCTCATTCTCTAAAATGACATAGGGCATGAGCTCACTCCATGTGACAGCACGGTTCCCCTTTTGGGTGGCTGGGGTCCTGTCCTTAGCCATGCAGATTCAAGTGGTCCATCAGGTGCTCCCTGGCACTGTCCATGGGACCTGGTGAGGTCTATGGACTCAGACCAAGAAGGAGTCTGCTGGTTTGCTTTTTTCTTCCTCTCTCCAAGAAAACAATAATCCCCTCCTTGTCCTTCCTTTCTATTCAGGCTTTCGTCTGTCAGAAAACTCAATCCTTTTAATTTTTTCTCTCTGATATTACTTACCAGGGAGAGGAAACACCACATGGGGGTGGTAGTGCATGGCCTCTGTCTTCCTTGATGCAAACTGTACTTGTTAAGCAAAATTTTCAGATTTTTCAAACTCTATGAATTCTTTGTGTGTGTACTATAGCTTCCCTAGATATATAGATCTCTGAGGTAAATTTTTGAGTAAAACCTAGCTATGTGTACACCTTCTTTTTCTGCTTCCCTATCTGTTGTTACAATAGCCATGTTCCAGAAACAAGGACATTTGTTCTGGACATGACAGAAAACAGCACAGCTGCTCCCTTGAGCAGTTCTGACTCTGGGTTCCTGAGTGTACTGTGTCTCATTTCTCTGAGCACCTGTTCTTGAGTGCATCCCACATCTATCTCTAATAAATTCTTGCTTTGTTTGCTTTGTTTTTTGGTACCAGGAATCAAACTCAAGACCTCATGCTTACCAGGCAGGCACTGTGCCGCTGAGTGATATCCTTGGCCCTCTCATGTCTCTTTAAACAAAAAATAAAAAGAAGCAAGACTTCTATCTATAAAAGTTCACAAGACAGAGGAGGTCCTGGGTTTGATCCCCATACAGGGCAGGGCTGCGGCGGGTGGGGGGAGGGCAGGGGGGATAACACCTGATGCTGAAAAGTCAGGAGCGCTGAGCTCATGCGCCTTTCAGATGTAGCCAATCACCACTCAAGTAAACAAGGTAAGGAAGCGAATACTAGGCCAGGACCCAGGACCCAGAACTGCAGTAGGGAGGCCTAATAGAAGGAAAGAGTGAAGATAGTCGTCATCAGCTACTTTTTCACATGAGAAGGAAAAGCTAAGAAGGGGAGGGAGGAAGCAGGAGGGATATTTTGTTTGGTAAAAAGCCTGGTACACGTGGGACGGCTAAGGGCTGGAGGAGGACTAGAGTGGGTGCTAGGGAGGCAGAAGTTCCTCAGGAGGAACACAGAGTAGAAGCAGTTTGTATTCGCATCAACTCACAAACCACTGAAGGGCGCTTTGGAGAGGCTCAGCAATGCTCCCTGAGCTACAGAGCTGCAATGAAGGTAAGCGAAGAGCCTCAACCAGAGTCCACACACCTGGCAATGTGCGACACTGAAGCACGAGAAAGGCCAGCTGTCCAGCCACAGGCCACGGCCACTGAGACGAGTCTTTGCCACCTGAGCCTGCCCTAAGCCATGTGGCTTAGAGAGAACAATGTGGCTTCTACAGCACTTCCCATTTACCAGGTCTACTCTAAGTATTTTATTCATATAACCTATTTAATCCTATCTGACTCCATAAGAGTCTATTACCATCCAAATGTTTGCAAATGAGGCACTTTCAGCTCAGCCTGTGTCATACTGCACAGAGACACAGAGCCAGAGGCAGCCTAGCTCCAGTCTTTACCACTACGCTGTTGTCTGTTGTATATGGATGTACAGAGCGCTGTCATGTGCCCCATAGAACTGGGCTGGAATAAAAAATATTTTGCCTCACTAAGTCTGTAAAAATTAAGATATGCCAGCTATCCGAGGAGGGTACAGTTTACAGGGGAGTTGCTGCTCCAGGGCACAAGGAGAGCAAAAGTGCACAGGAAGACTTGCTGAGGTGACACTGAAACACTAAGGAATTCTCACTGAAATCCCAGGATTTTTTTCTTTCCGGCAGTGCACTGGGGATTGAACTCAGGGCCTTGTACATGCTAGGCAAGTGCTCTATCACTGAGCTATACACACCCCCAGCCTTCCAGATGATTTGTGATGGAATCTGATAATAACCTACTTCTAAAATTCAGATGAAACAAGAAAAGCCCAAGAACTCCCAAGACTAGAAGAGTTAGGTAAAAGTTACTACAGTAAGTAAAACAATGGAGCAGTGATAGACAAATAAATCAATTGCACAGAATAACCCAGAAACAGACTCAAGCACAGAACATCCAAGTAGATAAAAAGCACACGAATGAAAAACAAAACTTTTTAAAAATTAGAAAAAAAGGGGAAGAAAAATATTAAAAGGAAAATAGCTTTATGCATCAATCAGAAAGACTGAAAAACTGCCAGGCATGGTGACAAATGACTCTAATCCCAACACTTCGGAGGTTGAGGCAGGAAGATCACTGTTAGTTCAAAGCCAGCCTGATCTATACAGTGAGACAAAACAACAATAATAACAAAAAGGGCAGACCTTAGGATATCTCTTACCATAACTTTAAAAAATTAATAATGTAATATACCAAAGGACATTAAATTACGTATTTTAAATGGCTGAACTGTAAATATTTGAATTACATCTCAATAAAGCTATTAAAAAACAAATCTGGGGCTGAGGGTGTAGCTCAGGGGTAGAGCATGTGATTAGTGTGTGCAGTGCTCTGGGTTTCATCTCCAGAAGTACAAGAAAACAAAACAAAAAACCTGTTGTACCCAAAAGCACCCTAAACAAAACACACCACAGACAGGTAGGGGCCAAGTGCAACATATCTAACAAGGCAAGTCCTAATGCCAATTTTTTTTTTTTTTGTCTTTTTGAGACAGGGTCTTGCTATGCAATTCAGGCTGGCCTTGAGCTCACTTTGTAGCCCAGGCTGGCCTTGAACTTGAAACCGATCCTCCTGCCTCAGCCTCCTGAGTGCTGGGATTACAGGTGTGTACCACCACGCCCAGCTTAATGCCAAATTTTATTTATTTTATTTTTTTCCAGTACCGGGAATCAAACTCATGACCTCATGCTTGCCAGGCAGGCACTGTGCCACTGAGCTAAATCCCCAGCCTCTTCAAATTTTGTTTAAAGGAGCATTATGGGAGGTATATAATGCCCACATTTTTTAGAAATACTTCTATTGATGAATTATTACTTTTAATTTTATTAGTTTTATTATGTTAATGTACACTTAACAAGGATAAAATAAGCACCAACATTTTCAACATCAACTGTTTACCTGTTTACATGATCTAAAAAATTGAGCCAGGGATATAGCTCAGTGGCACAGTGCCTGCCAGGCAAGCACACAGCTCTGAGTTCAATTCCTGGTACCCCCCCCCGCCCCAAAAAAGATCTAAAAAATAATAGCAATGTGCCGGGCATAGTGGCACATGCCTGTAATCCCAGCACTTGGGAATCAGAGGCAGGAGGATCGTCTTGAGTTTGAGACCAGCCTGGGCTACAAAGTGAGCTCATGCCCAGAGTGAATCGCATAGTGAGACCCTATCTCAAAAAGACAAAAGCAAAACAAAACAAACCTCAAAAAGACAAAAAATAATAGTAAGAATAACAGCAGAAATAAATTCCTTATGTGAACTACAATGGCCAGGCGTGGTGGCACATGCCTGTAATCCCAGCACTAGGGAGGCTGAGGCAGGAGGATCATTGTGAGTTCGAGACCAGCCTGGGCTACAAAGTTAGCTGAAGGCCAGCTTGAACTGCATAGTGAGATCCTGTCTCAAAAAGACAAAAACAAAACAAAACAAAAAAAACAAAGTGTATTGAACTACAATGAAATAGAAACAAACTCTACCACAGAAATAACCTTTGCTTCAATTATCACACCTTTACAGCCGTCTTCACACAAGACAACAGCATATTGCATACACAAGTCTCACACTGATAGCATATGTGCTTAGTTTTTTTTTTCCTGTTTGGCAGGCCATACTTTTCATGTCTCTTGTCTTCCTACTTTGTCATGAGCTTCCTATTATATGATGTGCATTTAGCAGGAAAATGAAATAATAGTAAAATATCAAATGTATACTGTTTAGAATAAACATCATTTTCTACATCAACTGTTTACTTACTAAATCTAAAAAACAATAACAGAACTCACAGCAATCCTCCTGTCTCAGCTTCCTGAGTGCTAGGATTATAGGTGTGTGCCACTACACTGGCTCAAATGCATTTTTAAAAGGAAAAACCACTCTAAAAGATGAGGTGGCCTAAAATTACATCTGTGCACAGCTGCTGAGAACTCTGAATGAACTTCCCATGGAAACTATGTGCCAAGTGCTGAGCGTTAACCCAGCTCAAAGTCTCATCAGGTACAAGGTCGAGAAACAGATTTCAAATCATTCCTCTTCTCTCCACCTCACTGTCTCTACTCTATTGACCAAACCATGGCCGACGCTCACTTGGAACACTGCAAAGACATCTATCAGGCCATGCCATCTTTTTGCCTGAAGCCTCCCAATAGCAGTCCATGCTGTATTTTGAACGCACCACCTCCAGTGATAACAAAAATCTACCTACTTAATATAAACTGAGCACTACACTAAATGCTTTACACCCAATTTATTTAATCCTCACATCAGGCCCACAGGTGAGTATATTAGTTACTAAGGTGGAAGAAAATGAGACTTTAAGATACCCAGTGCCACACTGCTAGATGGTGATAGAACTGAGGCTCTCAAAGAGAACCCTAGAAAGAGGGCACAGAAGTCATTTTGCCATTTTTTTGCATGTCTGAAAATGTAGTAGCTTTATTTTCTCCACACGTGACAGTTTCTTGGGGTTACATCTACACAATTGTAGGCTGGAAATTATCTCCCCTCAGATTATGAAGGTCTGTACCTTGCTTTCTAGCGAGTTTATGCAGGTTCACTACAGACATATTTTTAAAAATATTTTTACTAGAGATTGTATGACTCCATGGAACTGGAACCTGAAGATCTGGAGGGCCATATACATAGGCTTTTTTTTTTCCCAGTTTTTTTCTGCAGTTGCCATCTGTTTTTTCCAAGTTCTTTTTTACTTGTTGCTCATTTTAGAATGTCTCTCTTGCTGGGGTCTGTGACTCAGCATTCACATTTAATCCAGGCGCAAGGCTGACTGGAGCGCCTCATGCAGTAGTGGCTCTTAGGGCAGAGCTGATGTACTGCTGGCTTCAGTATATGGTAATCAGTAGGGGTCCAGACTGATGGGAGGATTCCAACGACTTATCTCAAAGTCTTTTCTCTAGTTAGTTTTTCCACACAGGAGTCCAGTGAACTCAGCCTAGCAGGGAATAATTCTAGCTGCTCTCACTCTGGAGACTGAGCAGGAGCTCAGGGGACGAGTCTGTTCAGGGCAGCAACTCACCACACTTCCTTGCTTGCACTAAGCCTGGAGCTTCTCTAAGTAAGTTGCTCCAGAAAATTGGTTTTGCTTCTCCTGTCAGGTGGAAGAAGAGTCATCATTGGGATACACAGAGAACTGCGGAGTCCAACCACAGTCCTGCTTCCAGTTCCACTGTCTCCACCTTCCAAAGCATCTTACCAGCCCTAATTCCTGAGCCCTCTCGGAGCTGGAGAAGGGGAATCGGCTTCCTTTCCTTCCTGCAGTGCTGCCCTCTACAGACGGGAAGGCTTCAAATTCCCCTGTTTTGCTAAAACAATTTCATACTTTCTTTTATTTTCTCTTTCAAAAACATATTGACATCTTTTATCTCTTAACTCTTCTTTTGTTCTTTACCCTGGTGGGTTTATACCTTTTTAATTCTTTTTCTACTATTTTATTAAGGTTTAAGAAAGAAGGGAAGATAGACACATCAATCTACCACTTTTAGCCAGGATTCAGCCGTCACTCCTCACCCTCACTGGCTGTTCATTTATCATCACTAACATCATTCAAGTTACCGAGGGTTGTGTTTTAGTCCACAAAACAATGAAATCCAAAGAAAGAGAAGGATGGGTTTTTCTAGGGCATATGGGCAAGAATTAGAACAGAATAGAAGTGTAGACCAGTTTTAGGTTTCAATAATTTTAAAATTGAGCAGATAATGCAGATATAATTATAAAAGACACGTTATTTGAATATCACCAGCAGTTACTCCTAGAGTCACTGTTGGCATGAATCTGAGCATGGTGTTTTCACACAGGTCTGTGTCCTGGCAGCAAACATACACACCGTTCTTGAACGACTTTGGAGTAAGCGGCAGTATTCAGGGTTTTTCGGATGAAGTCACAGATGTGAGAACTCTCTCCTGGGCATCGAGGGAATCCAAAAACACCTATGGTGGGAAAAGATAAATATTCACCCATCAATAATCAGACATCAAATACCTGTTGGGTTAAAGGCACTGGGACAAATAAAAATGGGCACGATCAAGGCCCTAATCTCCTTCAGCTCTTCCCCAAACCCCAAAATCTAACAACGTAACCCACTTCCTCCTGGTGCTCCCACAGTCTGCGGCTGGGGGTGCTGCCCCTGCTCCATCTACACTGTGCCGATTCTGCATGACAGCATATGGCTGGCTGCATTTCTGCTCACAGGCCTTGACTTACGGAAGTCATAGCCGTGTAAGCTATTCCAGGCATTCCCCACCCCCTTCCCTTCCCTCCCCTCCCCCTAGTAATAGTTTCATCCTCAGCATCCTCAGCTAGTTCTACGAATACTTGTGGGAGGCCAGATCAGAAGATTAAAGGCCTAATTGGCCTCCTCTGTGAGCACTAAGGAGAAAGGTGGTGTGAGTGTGTGCTGACATGCTTGGGAAAAGGAAAAAAGGCTGAGGTCCTGTTGTTTACCTGGACATGTACCATGATGGTGGGAGGCAGATGAATCCTGTTTTACTCTAGTTGCTTATACCCGTGTCTGAATGAATAAAGTTGGTGTGCTAGGCATTTGTGGCTCTTTGTCAAAAGAAGACAAGTGCTCCTAACCTCCCACATTTTAACCTAATTCTGTGTCTCTTTGCTTTTCATCTTCATTGCCCCTCTGTCAGGTACAAGCTCATAGGCTGGCTCCTATAAATATTCAGTCATCTCTGGGTATCCAAGAGGAACTGGTTCCAGAAGTCCCAAAGGACACCAAAATCCATGGATATACAAGTCCCTTGCATAAAATGGTGTAGTAGACAGGCGTGGTGGCACATACCTATAATCCCAGCAATTAGTAGGGTAGGCTGAGGCAAGAGTTGAAGGCCAGCCTGGGCTACATAATGAGTTCAAGAGCTCAAAAAAAAGAAACGCGGGCCAGGGATATAGCTCAGTGGCACAGTGCCTGCCTGGCAAGTATGAGATCCTGAGTTTGATTCCCGGTTCAAAAAAAAACTCAAAAAAAAAGGAAAAGAAAACTATCACAACCACTAGTCTGTCTCTTAACAAATGTTTGTTGAACAAATGATAAACTGCTTTTACCACCCTGTGTTTGCATAATACTTCTACTTGTATAAAGTATTTTCCTATTATTTCAATTCTGAAAAATTTCCATAAGATGGGCAGGGCCATATTTTAGCTGCCCCCATTTGTGAAAGGGATCTAAGATATACTGCCTTTCCTGTGAGTGACAATGAACTGGGTGAACCCAAATTTCCTGACAATCCATGCCTGCTAACACTTAAAACCATGATGAGAGAGAGAAAATTCTATCCCAAGGACATACCCTTTCCCCCAAAATACGTGATTCTGTCTGAACAGAAAACCTGGTACTTTTCAAAGGGTTTAGTCTCTACTGTTAAATTTACAGACAAAAAAATTTTACAATTGTTTGCCTACACCTAAGTTCAACAGCACAGCACCAATGTCAGAAACAAGAAAAGCCACTAAAGTCCTCCACTGCCACTTGCTGTGCAGCCACAACCATCGCTCCTCCATGAGCTCTTTCAACGAGCAATGATCGCACCCCCGCTACACCTCGCTGGCTAAGGTGCTGCCACCCAAAAAGCCAACCTCCTTGAAACCCTGCCCATTCAACTGGAGAGGAGACAACAACTTACTGACTCCCCTGCAGTCAGAGGGCTCTGGGAGGCTGCTTCTCTCCTGCGTCCCCATCAACGCTGGCTTTTAAAGAATGGTTGACCTATAAGCAAATAGAGCTCTATACTTACTGTTAAAAGCCAAAGTGGTCACACATGTGGCCAGGTATGGTGGTGCATGCCTATAATCCCTGCACTTGGGAGGCTGAGGCTGGAGAATCACTGCGTGTTCGAGGCCAGCATGGGTTACACAGTGAACTCAAGGCCAGCCTGCCCTACATAGCAAGACCCTGTCTCAAACAAAGGAACAAAACAATGTGGCCATGTGGGTTGGCACAGAGAAGGGGAAGTACAGGGGTCAAAGTTACCTTGGTGCTGCGCTCCAAATGTGATCAGACTGGTCATGGGAGGCGATGGGCATCTCTGAACCACTGCTCTCCTGGAGAAATGAAATGGATTTATCATCTGACTGTCATATGTAAATGCGTCACCCAAAATCAGCCCTACAGATTAAACTACACAATATACTGCAGTTCCCCAAAGCCAAAGAGGAAGTTCTGGGACTTTCCTCTGATATGGTCAAACCCAAACTTCATTTTTTCATAGGAAATAAATTAAGCTCCATAAAGGTTTCTACACAGGGGTTTTTAGAATCATTTCCTTTTTAAGACGGGGAGGATCCCAAGAGTTCAGAGTAGCGGCCAGGCACAGTGGCACATGCTTGTAATCCCAGCTACTTGGGAGGCTGAGAAAGGAGGACCACAAGTTTCAGGCTGGCCTGGGTGATTCAGACGAGGGGTGTTGCTCAGTGGTAGAACACTTGCCTGGTATGCATAACCTATGTTCAAGTTCCAGTACTGCCAAAAAACAAGACAGGGCAGAGGATTAATTCTGGTACTTACAGAAATTGGCCTCCCTGCGAGAATCCCATAGCATTGTAGCCTTGCTGCAATTTAGGATCATTAGCAAGAATCTGACACACTGTCCTTACTTGGGAATTGACATTCAAGAAGAAGCTGTTTTCCATGTCCTAAAAAGGAGCCAGAGAAGTGAATGACAGGACCGAAAGCAGCCAGTGGCATCTCCCCTAGAAGTGAGCTCACGTAGGCTGACACCCTCATGCACTACAAGGGAGAGAAGGTACCAATGACTCGTTTGCTGCTAGAAATGCAAGCTGAAGCACCCTGGTAGTAACATTCTAGGAAACCAGCAAGTGAGCCTTCCAAGGAACAGAGCTGCCAAATGCTTACCTCTTTGATGTTCTTCCCAATCTCTAAAGACAAAACGTAAATTCCGGGTATTTTCTCTTCGACCATTTTCTTAATAGCGCCCATGCTCATGGGATTACAACAGCTGTCTCCTAGCCAACAAAAACAATGAAGGAAACCCATTAATCAAAATAACATTACTTGTTAATGTCTCTCAAAGGGTATTATCAAGAATGTAAAAAGATAACACACAGAATAGGAAAAGATATCTGCGAAACATGTATCTGACTTTAACATCCAGAATGCATAGAGTATCCATGCCGGGTGTGGTAGCTTGTACCTATAACCCCAGCACTCAGCACACTGAGGCAGGGGGTTCACAAAAGTTGAAGGCCAGCCTGGGCTACATGGTAAGTTCAAGCCAGCCTAGACTATATTGTGAGACCCCGGCTCAAAAAACAAAACCAAAAACGAATTTAAAAACATTATGTCAAGTGCAATAAGCCCCAAACAAAAGGTCACTACCAAAAGGTGATACCTTTCATAAGACACATATGTCCAGAAAAGACAACTTCACAGAGACAAAAAGTAGGCTGCAAGTTATCAGCAAGCAGTAGGAGGTTGAATGCAATAATGTGTGTGGATGTTTTTTCTGGGGTGTTGAGAAATTTTGAAATGAGAGGCAAGTAGTAGTTGAATATACTCAATGTTACTGGATTGTGTACTCCAAAAAGAATTTAACTTCAATTTAAAAAAATTTTTTTTGTTGTTTTTTTCCAGTACCGGGAACCGAACTCACGCTTGCCAGGCAGGCGCTGTGCCGCTGAGCTAAATCCCCAGCCCCTACAATTTTAAAATTTAAAAAACAGATAAAAACACTTTTTGCTTAGCTCCTGTTTATCGAGCAGTAACAAACTTCAAAAGCTCATAAGAAGCCGGGCCTGGTAGCATAAACTTGTAATCCTAGCACGCTGGGGGCTGAGAAAGGATGATCACAAAGCCCAGCCTGGGCCATTTAGCAAATCAGTGATATCCTGCCTCAAAATAAAAAGGGCTGAGGACCACTCTGAAGTCCCTGGGTTCAAGCCCTAGTACTACCAAAAAAAAAAAAAAAAAAAAAAGAAGACCAGAAGTTATAATTGGGGCACTGATTTTTAGGGGCCCCATTTAAAATAAAAAAGCACTGATGCACACTCCCCTCCTTTACTGTAAGAGGCACTTGTGGAAAGAGACTCCAAGAATTCTCTTCGGAGCCAGAACTAGGAAAACAAAACGTAAATTTGTGCAAGTGCTGCTCCCAAACGGCACAGTTTAGGAGCAACTTCCTCTTTACTCTGCATTCTAGATGCCTCCTGCCTCATCCTAGTCCGACTTGTTCCTTTTCCTGTCAAGAAATCAGAACTAAGAACCCGGAACAAACTGGCCACTGAGTGGGGCAACAGGCTGGGATCATTTCTCTTTCTTTTTTGGATTTCATTGTGGGTTTCACTGTGCAGCCCAGGCTGGCCTTGGAGCTGGCAGCAATCCTCCTTCCTCAGTCTCCCAAGTGCTGGGGTTACAGGCGTGTGCCACACATCCGGTGTTCTCCCCGTCGGAATTTTGAATTTAATTATCCCAGTTTCATTCTAAGAGGAAGCCTCAGAACCAGCTTAACAAGGGAAAAGCTATGGCCGAAAGAATCTGTGTTTCTCTCCTGAAGACATTCTCTACACTCAACTGTGACTGCTTGCTGCTTGCTGCCTCTCCTGTGCATGGACTCTGAGCACGAGGAGAGCACAGAGCGTCTATCTAGCATCCTCCCAACCTCACTCCCAGCCTGAAACAGTCTTGAAAGAGTTGTCTGTATTTGTTGGCTCTCACTCCCCTCTGAATGTTTTTCTTTAACCCATTTCAGTACAGCTCTCATTCTCTTTTTTTGTTTTGTTTTTTTGAGACAGAGTCTCACTATGTACTTCCGGTTGGTTTCGAACTCATGTCGATCCTCTTGCCTCTGCCTCCCAAAATGCTGGGATTACAGGCATGCACCACCATACGCAGCACAGCTATGACTCTCATCACTTCCCCAAAACTGCTTTTGTCCAGATGTTTAAGGATCTTCATATGACTAAATACAATAATCAGTTCACATGATGGAGCAGCAACATCCTTTTTTTCCTTTGATACACTGGGTATCAAACCCAGAGTGCTGCACATGATAGGCAAGTGCTCCACCACTGAGCTACATTCCCATCCCTGCCCCCTTTTATTTTTGAAGCCAGTGTGGTGATGCACACCTGTAATCCCAACATTCATGTGGCTGAGGCAGGAGGATCACTGCAAATTTGAGGCCAGCCTGGGTTACATGCTGAGTTCAAGGCCTGCCTACACTACACAGTGAGACCCTGTCTCAAGAAAACCAAAACAACAAAAATAAATTTAATTTTCAGACAGGTTCTTGCCAAGTTTCCCAGGCTGGCCTGGAGCTTACGGTTCTACTGCCAACACCTGCAAAGTAGCTGGGATTACAGGTATACACAACCAAGCCCAGATCTCTTTCTTTTGAAACTTTTTTTTTCTTTATTTGGCTTCCCTGACACTGCATCCTCCTGACTTCCCTTCACCCCTCAGAGTGTCCTGTCACTGTCTCTTTTGCTAATTCCTCTCAATCTTCGCTACCTCCAAATGCTTAAAGGCCTCAGAGCTCAGTACCCTGCCAATGTTCACTCCCCAGGAGATCTTGCCAGTCTTTAAATGCCGCAAATGCTAGCCAGATGCCCAAGGCTTCCAAACTTAAATCTCCAATGTGTACATTCAGATGTCTCTATGACATCACTCAGGAGTAACAAAGATCTCAAGTCCAGTAAACCCCAAAGCAGACTCTCCATTACCCTCCACCCCAAGTTGGCCCACCCTAAGGCTCCCCAAGCTTGGTAAAATGACTACTCCATCCTTCTAGTTCTCATCTGGGTGTGGTGGCACACACCTGTAATCACAGCACTTGGGAAGCTGAGGCAGGAGGATCGTTGCAAGTTCGAGACCAGCCTGGGCTACAAAGTGAGCTCAAGGCCTGCCTCAAATGCATAGCTTGTCTCAAAAAGACAAAAAAAAGGAAACCATTCTTCTAGTTCTCCAGGCCCAAACCTGTTGTCTCTGGCTTCTTTCTCTCATGCCACTTATAAATCCCACAGGTTCCATTTTCAAAATATATCCAAACTCTGACCACTTCCCTACACCTCTTTTGCTCCTACACAGCTCCAAGCCATTATTACCTCTTGTTTAAGTCACTGCAATAACTTCCTAACCTGTCTTCCTACAACTGGCCCTGGTCCTCCTACAGTCTATTCTGAATAGGACACTCTGAGTGATCATTTTAAAACATAAGTCAGATCGTGTCACTCACTGCCCAAAAAGTTTCTATTTCACTCTAGCCAGTCTCTATTAGTCTAACTACACTCAACCCTTCCTCTCATTTACTTTATTTTATTTTCCCCTCTGTCTCATTTAAACCTCTAGTCTCTTCCCCTTGCTCTCTAAGTTCCAACCCCTGTTCTGAATGCTGTTCTTTAAACTTACAGGATATACTTCTGCTTCAGGGCCTTTGAACTTGCTGTTCTTTCTACTACATATCTAAATGACATCTTCTCTACCCACTTCGGATTTTTTGCTGCGATGTCACTTTCTCAGTTAATGCTTTCCTGACTTTCTGCTATACAAGTGCGTTCCATCCCCTTTCCCCTGCCCGCCTCCCCCGCTCACCCCGCTTTCTCGCCGTTGCAATTATCACCATTTGACATGCACGTTTTACTTATTTCTTTAGTCTGTCTCTCTCACTGGAAAGTAAGCTCTAAGTGGGTAACGAATTTACTCTGTTTTGTTCACTGCTGTAGCCTCACATCTGATGGGTGCTCACTCCACGTTAAAGATATAAATGAAACGCAGGTGCCTAACAAATCACCGGTCGAGGTGTGAAGAGCAAAGGGACAGGTGCGCGCGCAGCAGGCACACACCAGCCTGACTCCCCGTGAAACTCCGAAGCCGCGCTCAGCCCTCTGCCAGCGGCTAGCTCCTTCCCTTTCTCCCCGAGCAGAGCAGCTCCCCAGAGCCTAACCTTGGGCCGGTCGGGTGCTGTGGAAGCGCTGTGCCCGCCCTCCTCACGCTCACTTTGCAGTCGCGAACCTACGCTGGGAGAAAGTCGCCAAACCCTTTGCTTCTGCCCTCACGCACTCACCCATCCCATGCCAGATCACCAGCGGCAGCGGCGCGGGCGGGTCAAGATTGCCCAGCGCTCGAGCTTGGCAGGACCAGGGCAGAAGAGCTGCAGCTAAGATGAATAGGGCACCCAGCGACGCCATCTTGGCCCAGTCACGTGTGCGCGGCCGTGCGCCGTGGGGGGCCGCGCGGGGCGGAGCGGGGGCGGGCCCGGCTTCCAGCCCGGCTGCGCAGAGCGTGCACCTGCAGCCTCGCAGCCGCCGCGCCCGCCAGGTGATGCTGCCCGGGCTCCTGCGCTGCCAGGGTGACTCGAAACGATGGCCCGGGTTTGTTCAGTGCCTACTGCGCACCAGCCACTGTTCTAAGTGGTTTACCGCCTTGCGCTGATGTGCTCCTCGTCATAAGGCTGTTTCTCATCATTTCACAGGTAAGGAGCCTGAGGCACTGAGACGGTGCCGCGGTTGCAGAACTTGGGGAGTCCAAATCGTCGCTCTTCACCACTGCAGCGTGCTGCCTCTGGAGGAATAGTGCTCTGTGAAAGGAAGGAAGAGAGGAAGAAAGAATTCTGCCCTGTGTTAGAAATGAAAGGGGAGACATGCTTTCCAGCCAGGCCAGTCAGGGCCGGGGATGGTATTTTGGATCTTGAAGGAAAGATAGAATTTTAACGAGCGAAGATGAAATTCCTGAGAAGGACCGACGGTGAGAACATCTGCTGGCTGCGGAAGAGGGATGGGAAAATAAACCTACGCCCACTTCCTGGTCTGAGATCGGAGCTGGGTTATTGGAACATGCGCTCATTGGAACATGCGCTCATCGACCACTCAACATTTTCCTTCGTCCCGTCTTTAATCCCTGTTGTGTTCTTTCGTCATCCCACTTTCATCATCTCAATTCTCTGATCTTTTTTTTTCCTTCAGAAAAACATCAAAAATAGTTTAAGGAATCTGTTTAGTACATTAAGGAGAAAAAAGTAAATTAGAGTATATCCACTACACAGTGGAATGTGAGGCTGGCTTTTATTTTTTTATTTTTCATAAAGGATGAGGTAAACATATATATGCACATGAAAAACTGTCCACAGTATATTGTAAAGGAGAAACTTTACAATACACATTCACATGAATGAAGCCCTTGAAGCAGATTCTGTCAGGACTAGTACTAAGTTGGTAGTTGAAAAATCAAAGTGCAGATATAAACAATTATACAATATTATTTTGTTGTAAGAAAATAAGCTTATTAGCCGGCGTGGTGGTGCATGCCTGTAATCCCAACACTCGGGAGGCTGAGGCAGGAGGACAGTTGCGAGTTCGAGACCAGCTTGGGCTACAAAGTGAGCTGAAGGCCAGCCTGAACTGCACAGTGAGACCCTGTCTCAAAAAGACAAAAAAAAAAAAAAAAAAAAAAAAAAAAAAAGAAGCTTATTGTACATATAAACATTTTCTTTTTTTCTTTCTTTCTTTTTTTGGTGTTTTTGAGACAGGGTCTCACTATGCCTTTCAGGTTGTCCTTGAGCTTACTTTGTAGCGCAGACTGGTCTTAAGCTTTCTGTGATCCTCCTGCCTCAGCCTTCTGAGTGCTGGGATTACAGGTATGTGCCTGGCCTAGCATTTTCTTTTTAACTGAAGACATAAAATGTCTTACACCAATCTTTTGAGGCAGCAAAAGATTTTTCTATGATCATGATGCCTCCATTGAAACATTTCTTGAAATAATTTGTGTCTTGCCTTTAGCGAATCACTTGTGATTTCTTTAAAGATTTCTTTGAAGTTGAGCAACAACGGAATTCAAGTCTTCCAAATGATCATAGTGTTTCCACTCACTGATTTCACACGTAGACCCAATTTAACAATTTTTTAAGCAACTTGCCTTTTAGTTTTTCCAAAGCATTCAACTTAGTTTTCATATAAAAAGTCTCTTTAATATTTATACTCACATTGCACGTGTTCTAAAAAATTTAATTAAACTGGCCAGGCATAGTAGGGCACTTTTCTAATCACAATACTTCAGAGACGGAGACAGAAGGATTACTGCGAGTTTAAGGCCAGCCTAGGCTGCATAGTAAGTTCAACACCAGCTTGAACTACATAGTGAGAACCTATTTTAAAAAATATTTAAATTAAATTACAATAGAAAATATCACTGATATAAATAAGTAGAAAAACCCAACCCAAAACTGGCAGGAGTACAACTTCCGAGGAATTGTCAAAAGTTTCAAAATAAAAAAGATTAAAGGCCTGAGGATATAGCTCAGTGCTTCCTGAGCACTCCTCAATACCCCTCCAAAAAAAGTTGCTTCTATCCATATTCATCATGCTGCAGGCATCGGTGTATCACAATTAGGAGAGTAGGTTAAATAGATATTAAAGGCACAACTGAATCCATTTATATGCATGCGGAGATGGTTGCACAGCTCTAAAATCACTAAAAACCATTGGATTGTACACATAAAATGAATGAATTACATGACATGTTAAATATGCTTCAATAATGCATTTTTTCTTACATGAAAGTTTTTTTTTTTTTGGTAGTGGGATTCAAACTCAGGACATTGCACTTGCCAAGTAGGCACTGTGCTGCTGAGCTAAATCCCCAGTGCATTTTTTTTCTTTTTAAAGACATCTATTCATGTATTTCTAGTGATTACTACCGAAAGGCCAAACATTGACAAGGAAAATGTATAAAGAATTCTAGGGACTGTTGAAAGATATGTTCTTTTTAAAAAATTTTTCTTTTTTTTTTTTTTTTTCTTTTGAGTCTTTTGAGACAGGGTTTCACTATGCAGTTCAGGCTGGCCTTGAACTCACAGCCATCCTTCTGCCTCAGCCTCCTGAGTGCTGGGATTACAGGTATGTGCCACCACACATGGCTTATTTTTGTTTTTTTGAGACAGGGTTTTGCTATGTAGTCTAGGCTGTCCTTGAACTCACTGTGTAGCCTGGCTTCAAACTCATGGTGATCCTCCTGCCTCAGTCTCCCAAGTACAGGGATTACAGATGTGTGCCACTAGACCTGGAAAACGTTATATTCTTAAGGGTTATATTATAAGAAAATGTCACTTTTTAACTTTATACTCTTCTGTATGATTTGAATTTTTAGAGCAAGGATACATAACTTTTTATAAACAGAAAATGATGAAGATGTAGACACATTAAAACTTACTGCACAGGAGGATTGCAAACTTGAGCCCAGCCTGAGAAACTTAGCAAATCCCCATCTCGAAAGAAAAAATAAGGCCTGGGGCTGGGACTCAGCACAAAAGGCCTGGGTTCCATTCCCAGTACTAGAGAAAAAAATCCTGCTTGTAGACCTACTGTACCCATGAGGGTGGAGATGGTTCTTCTTAAGCATCTGGGGAAGTTTGCACTCTTCCCTTAGGTGGGCGATTGCAACCACTCCCAGGTACAGAAGGGAAAAATCTTTACTGGGCTTCCAGGTTAAGAAGGTGGAGTAAATTGAACCTAATTTTGTAGCCGAGTACTTGATCAGTCTTTGTCCATGTTCCATGAGAGCTTGGAAGTATATTCTTGTGTGTGTGGTGGTCTGAGTTTCTACACACACCCATGCAGCTGTTTGTATTAACAAGATCTCCTTCTAGAATCACTTGTCTCCTTTTTGAGTTTTTGGGAGAGATGTTAGAAACCTCCTATTATGAAAATGGATTTTTCTAGTAGTTCTATAAGATCAGCTCCCCACTTGCCCATAAGTCCAGGACCTCATCTGTAAGGTGCATATGGGCTGTGGAATCCTGCATCTTACTGAGTCATTACTCCTTTGTTGCTAAGCTTCCCTCAACTCGTTGCATAATATATCTTCTGGTAGTCAAATCCTTAATACTAACTTTTTTATTTTAAAGAAAACAATATCAAAACAATATCATAGGGGGTGACAATGGTTAATACATTGAGTATTATCTTTAATTTTTTATTTAGAGAATATTTTATTAGTTTTTGTAATCGAACCCATGTAGATAAGGCCTTACATATTGGGGCTGGGGATTTAGCTCAGTGGCAAAGTGCCTCCCCGGCAAGCACAAGGTTGTGAGTTCAATTCCTGGTACTGGAAGAAAAGACAAAAAAAAAAACCCAAAAAACAAACAAAGACCTTACATATTTAATACAGTGCATTACCCCTGTACAAATGGGAAAAAAATTAAGTTTAACGTTTCTAGACCAATATGGCTTGTTAATTTCTGTACAATGCCAACT